ATGGTCAGTGCACTCCCACAGGGGAAGCGCCGCTCAGCCAGAAGCCCTGAGCCAGGCTCACGGCTGGCAAGCGCAGTGGTGGTGCTAGGAGCCTCTCCTGCCTCCGTGGCAGTCGGACATCCCCCAAGGGCTCTCAGACTGCAAGAGGGCACAGGTCGGACTGAGGGACGCCCCCCCTAAGTGCACAAATTTCATGCATTGGGCCTCTAGTAACTATATAATAGATATATTAAGACATTATTAAAAATTATTAAATAAAAATTTTCCCCAGACAATACTAAAACAAATATTAACCTCAATCTCTACTGATTTTCCATTTGACAACATCTTTCAAGAGAACAGAATTACCCCAACAAGTAAAACTAACAACTTTAGCAAGCTAATAATGCTAAATCATAGCATTAAATAAATTGTATGTCCCATGTATGATTCAAATAGGGTACTTAAAAACCTCTAAGATATACATTTGGCTTCATCCAGGAAAATACTCCAATCCACAGTCACCAATTGTGCCTCTAATTCTCATCACCCTCTTCACAATTTTGTATCACTCGTTACAAGGGACAATAGGTATGTGACTCAACATAGCTGTTCATCATTGCTGAAAATACAACTTAAATTCATTCAACAAGGATTTACTGAGTCCCTCTTATGTGCTATGTGCTATAAGCTGTCTAGGATGTGAGAACTGAGTGCTGAAACAAAGCCCTTGCCTTGACTGGGCTTACATTCAATGCATGTTCATCAAAAATTCTCTAAACAGCCCATTTAATACACAGCGTTCATCACTAAAGCACAAAAGGTACCACAATTACTAGTCAAGAAACAGATCAGGTACACAAACTTTTTGCATTAAGAGCAGAGGACAGAATAAAATATCCAGGGCATGAAAACAGAAGAGCAATCAAGATTTAGAGCTCAGGGAAATCAGTGCTGTCCTCATAGGAAAAAAGGTGGTTAAGAGCAAATACAGGGTGGGGCTAAAGTAGGTTTACAGTAGTGAATACACGAAACACAGAGTTTATTCTTATATTCTTATTTATTAACTACTAGAGGCCCGGTGCAGAAAATTCATGCACTCAGGGGGGTGGGTACCTCAGCCTGGCCTGCATCCTCTCACAATCTGGGAGCCCTTGGGGGATGTCCAACTGCCAACTTAGGTAGGGAGCGGGCCTAGGCCAGCAGTCGGACATCCTTAGCACTGCCACGGAGGCGGGAGAGGCTCCCGCCACTGCCGCTGCGCTCACCAGCCATGAACCCGGCTTCTGGCTAAGTGGCACTGCCCCTGTGGGAGCACACTGACTACTAGGGGGCAGCTCCTGCATTGAGCGTCCACCCTCTGATAGTCAGTTTATGTCATAGCAACCAGTCAATCCACCGTCAGGCCGAAACTGGCTCTCCGATATCCCCCGAGGAGTCCCAGATCGTGAGAGGGTGCGGGCAAGGCCACGGGACCCCACCAGTGCACAATTGGGGCCATGGAGGGATGCAAGAGGTTGGCCAGCTGGGGAGGGATAGCAGGAGGGCTCCAGGGCATGTCTGGCCCATCTCACTCAGTCCCGATTGGCCAGACCCCAGCAGCAAGCTAACCTACCAGTCAGAGCATCTGCCCCATGGTGGTCAGTGCATGTCACAGCGACTGGTCGACCAGTTGACTGTCTGCCCCCTGGTGATCAGTGCACATCATATCGAGCGGTTGAGGGGCCTTAGCATATCATTAGCATATTATGCTTTGATTGGTTGAACGGACAACCGGACGACAGCACACTTAGCATATTAGGCTTTTATTATATAGGATTGTATTTGCCACATGAACAACTGTAAACCTACTTTTGCCCCACCCTGTATGGCATGATACCCAGAAACATTGTTACTGTACACTTAGCATATTAAGCTTTTATTATATAGGATTGTATTATTTGCCACATGAACAACTGTAAACCTACTTTTGCCCCACCCTGTATGGCATGATACCCAGAAACATTGTTCCAAATTTAAAATAGGTGGGAAAAAAACTTCAAATGAAATTGTTTAAGAGATTTTAGAGAGTCCCACATACATACATACATACATACATACATACATACATAAAGGCTATTTTAGAAAAATGCAATGTAAAAAACTACACTAGACTAAGATTTCTATACCCTATTTCTTCTTTATATCAAATTATGCTGTTAGATGAGATAGACATCATTTTTAAAATCACAAAATTTATTCATCTACTCAATATGTTTAAATCTCAATGACTACACAGTGTTCAGGTGGGAAATGAGGTAGGAACAAGCAAGAATATACGAAAAATCTACATCAATCAATAACAAGCAAAAAAATGTTCCAAATGCCCTGAGAGCCCATAGTCAGCAATCTAGACTTACCTTTTCCAGTTCTATAAGAAAGCTGTCCAGAGACTCATCTGAGAGTTTGCCAACTTCGAACATGGTGACTGCATGGCTTTTCAAGTTCTGCAATAAAGCAAAAACAAAAACACTAAAATGTATTTCAGTGCCTTACACAAGTCACTCAAGTTCTAGTTTTCCCATTTTATGCTGCGCATAGCATCTAATATTTATACTAGAGGCCTGGTGCATAAAAATTCATGCACTGGAGGGGGGTCCCTCAGCCCGGCCTGCCCCCTCTGACAGTCTGGGAGCCTTCAGGGGCGGGAGGTGACCCAGCAATCAAGGGGAAGGCAATGCCCCCATCACACCTCTGCTGCTGCCACTGCCGGCAGCGCAAGCCTCGGCCGACCCTGGTTACCTGCACCTCAGGCCTGCCCTGGGCGGCTGGGGGCCGAGGGGACTGGGGGGGACCCCAGAAGCAGGCACGTGGTAAGGCCAGGCCTGCCTGAGGGCTGGGCTGAGGGGACTGGGCACCGCCATCTTGTGGCTGTGGGAGCTGCCTTTTGAGGGGAGGCAGTCAATTAGCATATTCCCTCCTTATTGGCTGTGGGCGCTGCCATCTTTGAGGGGGGGCAGTCCATTAGTATATCCCCTCCTTATTGGCTGTGGGTTCCGCTATCTTTGCAACAGTGTGAGGGTCAATTAGCATATTCCCTCTTTATTAGATAGGACTAGAGGCCTGTTGCATGAAGAGATTCGTGCAACAGGCCTTCCCTTCTCCTGGCTGCCAGCACCGGTTTTCCTCCGGCACCCAGGACCCAGGCCTTCCCTCCGGCCGGAGCCGCCTTTCGTCCTCCGTCTTTGCGGCCCCGGCTGGAGCCGCCTTCCGTCTTCCGTCTTCCGTCTTCATGGTTCCAGCTCACCTTCAGTCTTCGCTCCACTGCTTGGAGCCTACATATGCAAATTAAGCGCCATCTTTGTTGGCAGTTAATTTGCATATCACGCTGATTAGCCAATGGGAGGTGTAGCGAAGGTACGGTCAATTACCCTGTTTGTCTATTATTAGATAGGACTAGAGGCCTGTTGCATGAAGAGATTCGTGCAATAGGCCTTCCCTTCTCCTGGCTGCCAGCACTGGTTTTCCTCCGGCACCCGGGACCCAGGCCTTCCTTCCGGCCGGAGCTGCCTTCCATCCTCCGTCTTTGCGGCCCCAGCCGGAACCGCTTTCCATCCTCCGTCTTCGCGGTTCCGGCTCACCTTCAGTCTTCGCTCCACCGCTTGGAGCCTACGTATGCAAATTAAGCGCCATCTTTGTTGGCAGTTAATTTGCATATCACGCTGATTAGCCAATGGGAGGTGTAGCGAAGGTACGGTCAATTACCCTGTTTGTCTATTATTAGATAGGACTAGAGGCCCAATGCACGAAATTCATGCAAGAGTAGGCCTTCCTTCCCCTGGCTGCCGGCACCAGCTTCCCTCTGGAACCTGGGACCCAGGTTTCCCTCTAGCCACCAGCAGGCACCCGGGTCCCGGGATTCCCTCTGGCCACTGGTAGGCACCTGGGACCTGGGCTTCCCTCGCATCCCAGACTTCGTCCGGAAGGTCGCCTGAAAGAACGTCTGGTCTAATTAGCGTATTACACTTTTATTATTATAGAAGATTATGCTTTCCAATATATTTAAACTTGAGGTGAGAGTCTGATTCTTCTAATTACAAACGTAACCATCACTGAAAAGTTACTATACTCCTCTAAGGAATATAAAATAAAGGCAGTTATGTTTTCAAGAATAAATCTAGTACTTGTAAAAAAGACAGAGCATTGAATTATTTTATATCTAATCTTTACTTGAAACATTTTTATATTTGAACAAGAATTTGACTTACTGGTGAAAGATTTCCCATCATTAAAAAGGCAGTGAGAGTTGAGTCAAACAGAAATGCAATACGCTTTGTATATCCTGTAGACAAACTTAAACTGCTTACACTGGCTGTGTCGGCTGGGGGGGAAAAAATCGTAATTTAAGATTAAGTAAATGAAAAGTATACTTTGCTTATCATTTGGAATAAGAATGTATTTCATTTTGCCTTTATTCAATAATCAGAAAGTACATAATTAAGTATAAGCAATATTGTCAACCTAAGAGGTCCCGGTACTATCTCCAACATAAACAACCAAAAAACAAACAAAAAAAACCCCGCGTATTTTAAAGGCACTCACTTTTGTAGTCAATTTCTTGAAAAGCAATAATGAACCAAGACTTGATAACTGCCAGATGAATAAGACCAACTAGCCTAACCTCTCCAGACATGTCACTGGGGGAGAATTGGGAGCCCATGCGGTGCTGCCCTCCCCCTGGACATAAAACCAGGCGCAGCCTCCTCACTCATCCCCCATGCTTTGCCTCCCTTTGTGGAAGCCCGTGCGATGGCCTCCCCTCACTCACCAGCGAGCTAGCTCTTATTCACTCTTAGTCCAGTATCATCTTCTCCCTGAGGCTTCCAGAACCTCTCTAGGCAGTAAGAGGGCTCTTCTCTGCTCCCACAAGCACTACAACACTTCTCACATTGTGATTTCGGTGGTTCTACTGCCTTCTCTCTTCCTAGACTTAATTCTTAGAAGGAAGGTACCACATTTTTGTCTATTTTATACCCTAAAGACCTAGACCAGTGCCCAACATATTGTTAAGTATTCAAAGACGGCATCTTGAATGAGTGAAATCTAGAACAAAGCTATAAAATAGGTGTAGAGAGTCCACTCTGTGGGGGTATGTGCTGACACACGCCGTATCTGTAGAGAGACTCCAAATTAAACTGAGGGACTGCTGACCTGGATCCTCCTGACTGTTTGTATCGGTGTCAGTAGCCGACGACGCTTCCTGTACAGGACTCCTGCTTTCCCCACCGTCCCAGGACAGCAGCATCCTCTGCGGATCTAACGTACTCCTATTGATGAAGAAATCATTCACTTTTAAAAATCATATGATGATATAAAGTAGCTAATGAAGTCAGTACTCAAATTATAAACACCTATCTAAATCCAGTCATTTTCAAGTCTGAAATTGAGATGTAGCCCCAAAATGCTGTGCCTCATAGAACAAGGGTTCTGAACCAAGACCCACGGACAGGCTTCAGGGAATTCGAGAAGCCGTTAAAATTATGTGTGAAATATTGTATATGCTTTTTTCTGGGGAAATTCTTAAGTTTCTTCAGATTCTAAAAACGATTCATCACACACACACAAGATTTTTTAAAAAGACCACTAATATATAGGGTTCACCTCAAATGACAGAGTGAATAGGTAAAATTTTAGTGTGTAAGACTATACTTTTTTTCCAAATGAAAATTCTAATATCTCATACTAAATAAATGAGTTACTTTAATCTGTTTATAGATGGAACATTTCTCCACGATGAATGAAGTTGATCCAGATTTATTACTTGTCCCTTCTTATGGGCAAAGCCCAATCGGCAATACATTGAAACAGCATTCTGAAAGAAATAGGAAATGAGCATTTAAAATAAACCAGACATCAGAACCTTTGTAGACAAAATAGTATCACAGACTACACCTATAGTGATCCTCAAGCATTTTTACTCCACAGGTAGAAAAAACAATTTTCAGTAGGCCTGTTTGTCCCCTTGACTTCACATGTGTCAGAGAGGGAAGGCATCCAATTTTCCGGCCTGGCCCTCCCTAGATCTATCCCCAGTATCGGAGCTGTTGCTTTAATTATCTCATCACGAGACACCAATCAGCCTGCTTCCTGCTCAGCAAAGTGTGGGTGCGCCCTCCTTTTCACTCCATGGGGGCCCTTATCTCTCTCTTTTCTATCTTGTGAGCATGTCCTCTGCACACATCCTCCGACAGCTAAAAAGAATCTCACTGCCTCTGTTTCTTGGTAGCTTATCAAGATAAATATATATATGCCTAAGCAACCGTTACGACTGAATGACCAGTCGCTATGATGCGCACTGACCACTAGGGGAGCAGACACTCAATGCAGGAGCTGCCGTGCGCTCCCACAGCCAACCTCCCACAGCCAGCCAACCTCCCATGGTCCTTCCCCTGGGCCGGCCGGCCCCGATTAGCCCCAATCGCCAGCCAAGCTGAGGGACCCCACTCGTGCACGAATTCATGCGCTGGGCCTCTAGTATATGATAAAATCCATTCAGTATTTACACTGTAAGTAAAAAGAGTATAAAAATAACATGCCAACCTCCCATGGTCCTTCCCCCGGGCGGGCCGGCTGGCCCAGATTGGCCCCAATTGCCGGCCAAGCTGAGGGACCCCACTCATGCACGAATTCATGCACTGGGCCTCTAGTATATGATAAAATCCATTCAGTATTTACACTGTAAGTAAAAAGAGTATAAAAATAACATACCTTCACCAGGGATAAGTCTATCTCAAGGACATTTGCAAGCTGGGAAATAAAATAAAAAATTGTTTTACATTGTTATAATTATCAGCATATTACATGGTTGCAGTAGACACTTATAGTTAATCAGCAACATTTTAAATTATGAACATCTGGAAGACTGATTAAATTTTGAAATCAGAACTTTCTTCTTTCCATCTCTCTAAAATGTTTAGAGTAGTATGAATTCAGGTAATGACCTTAACAATTTAAGATACCTTCCTCTTTAATTTTATCTCATTTAAAATAAGAAATTTCCATGAGCAAGAAATAGTCTACAATCCTTTTATTATACAGTCATGCAATACTTAAAGACAGGTACATTCTAAGAAATTCGACATTAGACACTTTCGTCTTTGTGTGAACATCAGAGTGTACTTACCCCAACCTAGATGATACAGCCCCCTACTGTAATTGTGTGTGCTGTACCTTTGCACTGCTGGCAGTACAGTGGGTTTGTTCACACCAGCATCACCACAAACATGTGAGTAATTGAGTAATTGTAGTTTAAGCCCTACAGCTGGCTTTTCTTTTTGTAATTAAGTGCTTGGTTTAAGCTCTGAGTGCAGAGCCGTCCATTCCAAAGAAGGCTAACTGGAATAAACACATTGCCAGGCACTGGACTAGATAAAGAGCCGCGCCACCTCCTACCTGCCCACCCCTCCAGACTCCTGTGTTTTAGTTCTTGATTTCCATAACTGATCATTTGGGCTACTTGTTTTTTTCTGCCCAACCTCCCCACCCATCCTACCAACCAACAGGTGCCTTGTACATTCCAGTGCCTAAAAGTAAGAAACTTGTTTTCTTCAAAGTTTGCTAATGGATATTGCTGAAGGGCATTTTGCAAAATTATAACAAGAACCACAAGGGTAGGTCCAACGGTAACACTGGTTTAGAAAGGGGCAAGTCTGTGGAAAGTGCACAGGTCTAGCTGACAACATTACTATCCACAGACGGAAACCAGCACAAAAACAGCTGATTGTGCTATGTATGACCTTAGGAAGGCTGCCATGTCACTAGGCCATAGAAAATGTCTCAGCTCCATTATAATCTTATGCAGCCACTGTCATATATGTGGTCCCTCTCTCATGTTGTTACCCGGAGCAAGACGGTAAAGTCCTATAAAAAGTTATTTACCAAATTTTATATATGCAGAAAGTAACTTAAGAATAGTGACTAAAGCATATTAACAGTCCATGATCTACCCATGAACAAGTTTTTAAAACATTTTAACTGTGTCATTAAATAATTTTACCTACTTTACACAAACTTAACTTAAAATCTCGAACTTAAATTCTTTCACAAGACGCTGGTACACTCACCTCTGCAACATTAGTATGCTCATCTATTGAAACAAATATCTTATAGAGCAGAGTTTCAAAATAATCACCTTGCACTCGATTCATTACAAAACCTTCAAGTGGAGGAACTAAAATAAACAAAATAGACTTTTCTCAGTTATTTTATAAAACAAGAATGTGTAATTCAAATAGCTACTCAAAAAGAGAAACCTCTCACTTAAAAGACTAAATTCAGTTTTGATTTAATTTACCCACTCAATACCAAGACTCCTAAAGTTAAGGCCATGTACAACCCTGTCTACACACAGAAGACTGATGGTAGAGCATAAATCCTACAGACAGTAACTGATCCCCATGGACCTCTCAGCACTAGAGGCAGAGGAAGTGCTGGAGGACACGGGCCTGGTAGCAAGGCCAGGGGACTGGGGCTGCTTCAGAATGGGAAGGCAGCAGAGGGGACTGGGCTAAGGCAGAAAAGCAAAGGACTGGCTTACTAGGCTACCCAAAACACAGATGGATTGAAAGTATGGGCTCTCTGCCTTTCTCCCATCATCCCCACTCCATCCTGAGAAGAGGGAAACACATCTCTGTGACTGCCACCACTTTACCAGCCATCACTGGTGTAAGTGCTCTTTGGGGCTCTCTATTCTGTATCCTCTCAGTGGGAAGAAAGTCAAGACCTTCCACAGCCCATCCTGGCTCTCCACACTCACTGGTTCCCTCTCTTTGGTCCAGATGCTCTAATCCAATTTAGCAGAGCGCTCTGCCCAGGCGATGACAGAGGCACCGTGCTTCCCTTTGCCCGTGGGCACATTTCCCTTGAAAACACTTTGAGAAAGCAGAAGTGCTTAGACCATAGCAAAATTAGGGTCTCCCTGTGTCCCCGTGGGCACATTTCCCTTGAAAACATTTTGAGAAAGCAGAAGTGCTTAGACCAGCCGTGGGCAAACTACAGCCCGTTTGAAAAGAAAAAAACTAAAAAAAAAAAAAAAAAGAGCGTACCCTTTTATGTAATGATGTTTACTTTGAATTTATATTAGTTCACACAAACACTCCATCCATGCTTTTGTTCCGGCCCTCCGGTCCAGTTTAAGAACCCATTGTGGCCCTCGAGTCAAAAAGTTTGCCCACCCCTGGCTTAGACCATAGCAAAATTAGGGTCTCCCTGTGTCCCCTGACCCTAACACCATCTAAATTATTCCAAACAGAGAAAAATCAGACAAAATGCAAGGGGCCCAAATGAAGACACGTGAAGAACCACAATGTACATTTCAGGAGGGGTTGTTCACTTCAGATCTGGAACACATCATCTTCTAAGTTAGTGCTACCCATGGTTCCAGTCATCCAAGTACTTTTAAGGATCAAAGGTTTCTTTATAGAAATATTTTAGAATTCCCATATTTGATATAATTAGTTTTTTACTACACTACCAGTTGTGTAACAATTAGTAATAACAAATATTCACTGAACACTTACTAAGTGCCAGACAACTGCCAGGTACTTTACATATACAATTTCACTCAATCCTTTTAACCTCATGAATTGTTCAATACTATACCCCTATTTTAGAGATGAGAAAACCACAGCACTGGGAGGTTAGAAATATACATCTAGGCAAAAAGAATGAGGGCATTCTATATGATAAGATATAGAATAGTCTCCAATATATATTGCTTTTTAAAAAAAGTATGAGCTAGAATACACAATCTGTATAAAAATAAAACCACACACACAAAAAGACATATACATATATGCTATGTGCTTAGTATACTTTTGGAAGAATATACAAAAACTTAACAGTGGTTGCTAACTGGGGTGGGAAGCAGATGCTTTTATATTCTTTTGTAAATTTAGAATTTTATATCATAATTATTGCCTACTCAAAAAATATTAATAAAAATAAATATTTTTTAAAAGCACCTAGGAATAGCCAAGTAAGTTATAAAGAAAAGACACAACGAAGGCCTGGCTATAACTAATATTAAAAATTACTCTAAGTCATTGTAATGAAAATAATATGGTCTAAGAATAAAAACAAATAAGTGAGAATAAAGGATATGATAATTAATCCAATATAGAGGGAAATTTAATATATGACAAGTTATACTTCCATTCAGTGATAATGAGTTATTGAAAAAACATGCTAGCATTTATCCAAATGCTATGGGTTATCCAATTGAAGAAAATTTAAGTTGGGCCCTTATTTCACATCATGTAGGAAAAAAAGTCCAAGATTACAGTTTTAAAAATATATGACAAAGGTTTTTAAGAACTTTTAGGCTGTTTATATAACCTAGAAGAACTCTATCTAAGCACAATAGAAATCTAAAAGCTCTAAAAGGAAAGGGTAGACATAAAATGTACAAGTAAAAAAATGTGATGATGGAATAAATGGATTTTATTTAGCAACAGACCCTTTCATAATTATTCTCGTCAAAGTATTTCTCTCCCCACATTTATTTGTTCCACCATTCACAGTACTTGTTTTTTTGTTGAAACATAGCTGGACTGCTTCCTTTGAAATCACCTTCAGGTGTCTTTTGTGCTGAATTTGATGACTTCCATGTTATCAAACTGCTTTCCTTTCATGGGTTATTCCAATTTGGGGAACAGCCAGAGGTAACATGGTGACAGCAGTTATAATACCATGGGTCTTGTCTGTACCACCAAAACTTGCCAGATACTGTGTGAGCCATGGCAGAACATGACACTGTAATAGAGAAGCCATCCATTCAGCCCTTCTCTGATGCTCCCTTCAAAACTTAAAGATAACCTGAGCCAATATAATATTTAAACTATCAAAATGGACTGAAATGAACCAATCAAAGACCAATCTCTTTAGGTGGATCTCAGATGACTCAGTCTGTTTATCAAATGAGAGTAGGGACCAGGGTAAAGCTTTCGTATTTTCCAATGGTGACAGGAAGCCACTACCACCTGTCTTCCAGAAATTAATTCCTTGTCAAAATCTTTCAAATTTTAAAACTAGTATTTGATTTGTTATAGCACACACTATACAAACCAGAATTAGTATTTCACTGAGTTTTTTAGCTGTCTCCCAAGCTTAAAACAGAATTCATGTCTATACAAATGCATTATTAAAGAATCATAACACATGCTAACACAAATGAAGATCAGGACACACTAGTGCATGATAACCAGTCAAGATTCAACACTGAAAGGCAGAGAGGAAAAAAAAAGATTCAACACTGATATGAGGAAGTATTTTCGTAGAAGCTCTATCACCAGTCAATTGTTAATAGTAAGGCCATTCCCTGGAATTTTTTTGACACTTTATAACTGATCACACAAATATTAAATACCTTAGTATGATAAAAGATAACACAACAAGAATGCTGGAATACATACTTGTAACATATAACAAGTACTCCTACAAATCGGTAAGAAATCTAACCTATAGGAAAAGAGCTCCATCCTGTGTTCAAAAATGTTAACCACATCACTATTATAGCAAAACACTGGAAATAATCTAAATAACCAGCAATATGGGAATGATTTAATGAATTGATATACCCCATAAGTGTAGAATGAAATACACAAGGGCCTCATTGATTTAACTTGGGTAAAGTAGAAAGTGAGAAGATGAAGATAAAAAAGATGGTAGTGACATGAAATATAAGGCACAGATAAGTGGAAATGGAGAATACACAATTCTATGATATTACTGTATATAAAAGCTGTAATGCACCAAGCAAGGACTAAAATGTGACATAAACTTATAAAAACAATACTCTGATTTAGTATTGTGAGAAATTTATCTTAGGTTTCTATTACTTTAATATAGTATGTACACAAAATACTATAAAAATAAAAATAAGGAATACAGAGTAATGAGAAAAAAGAGTTTCTTTGCAAAATTGTAACATCAAAGATCCTAGAATGATTTGTGTCTAACTTAATAGAGTAATAATTCTGTGCCCAGAGCGGTTAAAAAAAATGGAAAAATATTAGCATATGCTTACCTGCTATACAACTGTCATCGGATATTGGTACATCCAGATAAATAAATCCTTTGTTATATAAACCTATAGAAGCAAAAGCACCTTCTTTTAGATGGAATACTAAACATTTAAAAAAACAACTGATTCCTAATTTGCTGTAGTAAAGATTCATACAACTGAATGCCATGTGAAAAAGTAAATTGAAGAATTATAGTTTTCAAATCTCAGCTTCCCTCATATGCTCAGAACTAAAAATTTTTCTATGACCCATTTGTATAAATTTCTAGTGGATGTGACTAATTATAGCCACAGTGGAAAACAATGGACTATGGTCGCATTTCACACAATAACATGCCTTTAGGAAATATTACTATTTTTATCTAATTAATAAGTAATTGCTATTAATTGTTGAAGCCTTAAAACACGTTTTTATGTTGACAAAAGACCATTTCTACTAACCACTTACTATGTACTACATTGTAATCTAGTGATCCAGAGAGCTGAGGGCCTGCATCGATGATCTTATCAATAGCGCATTTCTCAGGCAAAGTGCATATCTAAGAAAAGCAAAATATTTTCAATTAAGTTCTGTCCAAATTAACTAGTCCATGTCTCCTCAAATCTATTCATGCTTAAACCAATGATTAGGTGCCATTTATTGAATGAACAACATTTTTTTTCATTTATCACTTCAGAACTCTAACAAAAAAGGTATGCACATAACCATCAATTAAGGTGCCAAAAGATGCTACCAACAGAACTCAGAAAACAAAGTAACTATAAATAACAATATTTGCTGGTAAGCAATAAATGTTTACTAATAAATACCAGTATTTACTGACCTTCTTTGAATTGGAATCTGATTCATCTGTGATTCTGAACCTCTCAAAAATAAAGCTGATTCAAACTCCACATGATTATTCTGAGTAAGAAGTTCACTATCTTATGACATAGCTTGACAGCTCTGTTAGGAAATACTTATACTAAAATAAAATTTCTAAGCCTTCCACTCATTTGATTTATCTGTCCTCTGGGGTAAAATGAAATGCAAACAAACAAAAAATCCACGTGCTCACTTACATTTCTTCAGCCACACAGAATATGACCGACCTGGTCTCTAGGGCCCTTGTCCATCACCCCACCCCTTTCCTGTACAGCGTCTCTTCTAAAATCCATAGGCTCATATCAAATGTGGTCTGACCACTGACAGCACCATTTCCCTTCACCTTGATACTATCCCCCTATCAAAGCACCTACCACTTCACACAGTAATTAGCACAGTAATTAAGAACACAGGCTCCATAGCAAACTGCCTGGGTGAAAATCCTGGACCTTTATTACCACTATGACTTGAGCCGTCTCTTCAATTCTCTGTTCACATTCCTCATATGTGATACGGGGTACAAATCACACATACCTCTGGGTTGCTCTGAGCAACAAATTAGACAACATAAAAGCACTGGAATAGTGCCAGGCACATCTAAGCACAGAGCAAGTGCTCAAAAGTGTTAGCCAAAAAGACTGTCGGTAGCTGCAGCATCACATCAATTTACCTGAAACTGCTATTTAATTAAAATTCCCATATTGCACATGAACCAAGTCAAGTCTCCCTCATTATTAAAGAGTATCGTGGGACCCTACCAATATTCTAGTCTAATAAGGTCATTTAAATTTTTTATTTTCTTCAAGAACACAAAATAGTGTTACTTTTTTAAAAATTAGAGAACTACAATGAAAAATAGTTTTAAAAATAACTTATAAGATTACCTTTATGTCGTCTTCTGTGATATATCCAGCCTGCACCACCCACCACGCCTCTATGGCAATTTCTACCGGCTTTACTGGCAGAAGATCACGAGCTGTTTTCCTTCTGAAAAATTTCTGCAATAGTACAGTTTGCAATTGGTCTAAATTTACTACTTTCTTTTTCATCAATCCTATCTGAAGACTGTTTCTAACAGGCTAATACCTTTTTAAATTCTCATTTCTAAGGATCTGTTATTCTAGATACAATGAATGTAGAAAATAATCTCAAATTATTTTACAATAAATTACTTAAAAAGACTAATCATTAAATCTGGATCTAAATCCAGACTAAAACGAAGCCAGGATGTGAAAATGCATTTGGAAAAGTGTACTCACTTCACCCACTAAGTGAACCCTGGGAGTAGAATGAGCAAGAAAAAAGACCAACAGAACAAAATTAATTTTAAAAAATAGCCCAGCCAGTGTGGGTCAGTGGTTTAGTGTCAACCTATGAACCGGGAAGTCACAGTTTGATTCCCCCGTCAAGGCACATGTCCAGGTTGCGGGCAGGAGGCAGCTGATCAATGCTTCTCTCTCATCACTGATCTTTCTCTCTTTCTCTTTCTCTCTCTCTCTCTCTCTCTCTCTCTCTCTCTCTCTCCCCCTCCCTTCCTCTCTGAAATCAATAAAAATATTTTAAAAAATTAACTATATGTTCTATGCCTTCAATTGTTTTAATTAAATAATCATTTAAGTGATAGCCTAGAGCAGGGGTCCTCAAACTACGGCCCGCGGGCCACATGCAAATACAAATATTGTATTTGTTCCCGTTTTGTTTTTTTACTTCAAAATAAGATATGTGCAGTGTGCATAGGAATTTGTTCATAGTTTTTTTTAAACTATAGTCCGGCCCTCCAACGGTCTGAGGGACAGTGAACTGACCCCCTGTTTAAAAAGTTTGAGGACCCCTGGCCTAGAGAATACTAAGTTTTTGTACGGTTTCTGTATGAAGCATACTTTACTTGATCAGAGAAATTACAATTCATTATTTCTAACACTTGAAAAATTAATCAGACTGTGATCAGGAGGACAAGAAATGAGAAAGCAAGGGAAATGACTAACTTACTTTTGACGATCTACACTGATTCATCAGGTCGATGTACTGGTTTCTTCCTATGCCAAGAAGCCTTAGACCTGGAAGGAAGAGTCTGTCCTGTAAAGACTTTCAATACATCATGACATGTCAGGACACTCAGTCTTGTAGGGAATAAACCCTTGGCTTTTGTTCATCTTTTGATTATTGGTTGGCAATATCAAATTAAAAGGAATTCTTCGAACAGAATATAAGAGAAAATGAAACTGAGAGAGATGAATTCAAGTAAACACTATTGACAATGCTAAATGAGAAAATTTTTTAAAAGCAGAAGTCCTCCCAATTTCAGGAAGTCAAAGTGTACTTCTCAGCAAAAGTTTCTTCTTATACAACAGAACTATGTCCCATTTCAAATATACACTCATTAAAATAAGCTTAATAAAACACCAGCAAATTGTTAGTTATAACTGTGTATCATGCTGTAAAAATATTATATACTTTTTTTTTCTCCTCATCTGATACACAACACAGCCCAAGTATCAGGAAGAACTTCATTCTCTATAAATATATAGTCTAGTTCCATTTTTCTGATTTTAACACTCCAAAATATTCTTCTGAGACATTTAGACTAAATCTTACACTTGACTTGTATCAACAATGATGCTTGCGGTTCTCATCTTTCAAGTGTTTCACGCATTACAATACTGACACAATAGCATGCATACACAAGGACACACTAAACATTACTGCCTTGAGCATGATTAAATACTTACAGTCGGCAGCAGTAAAATTGGGCAGGGAATCATAACTTTTCTCACTGTTCATAATATCCTTTTCAAAGAAAAAATAAATAAAAAATTTTAAATGCAAAATGTCCATAGATAAAAACATGTGTCTAAACACATAGTTCTATAGCAATAAGAGGAACAATAACTATTACATGAAGCACCGAGATCAGAGTTTGGGTACCTAAAGCATGTGTGCCACACAGTGGCACTTACCACCTGGCCTCCCCACCTAATACCTGAAGATCAGGCTGTCGGGTCCGGGTTCCTCCCAGCACTCTCTATGAGTCCCACACAGTTGCCCTGTCACATCTGCCCTGTGGAAGCTAAGCAAGGAGTACCTCTAGGAGAGCTCAGGATGCCAACCTCGCCACACTTCACACCTGATCCTAGACTCCTACCCTGAGAAAAGGCTACGCAATGTGTCACAGCTCCATCAACACACATCTAAGACATGTACTGCCAGCAAAGTGTTTGACCACACGGTCATCTCTGCTCCTAGAAGTCCCAATCAGCTGCAGAGTTAAACTGAGGATCCAGCTTCTTCCAACTCCCATCTGCTTTTTAAACCAAGTGTTTACTGTGGAGATAACACCCATTTCAACCCAAAAGCTATACCCAATGGTGTAAGAACAGAAACCAGACAGCAGCAAGCACATGGACATAACTGAAAGCTGGTAAGTGGGACAAAACTTCCCTCTATATCTCCCCCAAACCTGTGGGCAACACCAGAAATGTAGTCAGAGAAACAACAATTCTACTCACTGATTAGCAGCCACCTCCATTATGCTACTCTGGTTCTCAGGGAAGGGACTGACAGAAACCTAGGCTGTCAGGCCTCAAGCTTTACTTTGCATTTCCTTCAAAATAAGGACACAGGAGATAGGGGACTGTAGAAGAGCCCATGAGTAAGGAGCATAAGGACATAAATAAAGGGAGCAAACCTCACTGTTACTACAGGTGCCCAACTCCTTTAGTTCTAGGCTTCTCTCTGTTCTTAAAGTGGCTAATGAACACAAAACAGTAGCACTCAAATATAATCAAACAGCAAATGAATACTAGATAAATGCTGCCAGTCTTTACAAAAAGCTCAGTTTTAAAAAGTATATAACTGGTATTTACAGTTATTCAACAGAGGCCTAAAAACTGCCTTTGGAAAAAAGCTAACAGTTTAACTCTGCAGCTAATAATCTGAAGTTAATAATTACAAAAAGATTAGCAGTCTGACACATGTATTATATAACACCAGATCTATATCATCATTTATTGTTGCTATAGGTAGTAAACAGCTAAATACATTAAGTTTCTCTGAGCTTAATGTTCAATCTGTCACCCACATTTTTAACCTTAGTCATGCATTAAATGAAATGTTATACAAACTCTGCTAACATAAATGCCTGATTAATGTATCTATCTATATATATAAAAGGCTAATATGCAAAGTGTCGCCGCAGTTCAACCGGGAGACCGAGAGTTCTATTGCTTGCTATGATGTGCACTGACCACCAGGGGCCAGCACAAAATGAAGGAAGGCCCTGGCCAGCAGCTGGAGAAGGGAGGAACCAGCCAGCAGCCAGAAGGCCCAATCAGCCTGGTTGCCAGCCAAGTCTAGGGGCCCTACCCATGCACAAATTTCAGGCACCGGGCCTCTAGTAATAGCATAAAAAAGAACAGCCCTAGCTGGTTTGGCTCAGTGAATAGAGTGTCGGCTTGTGGATTGAAGGGTCTCGGGGTCGATTCCAGTCAAGAGCACATGCCAGGGTTGCGGGCTCAGTCCCCAGTGGGGGTGTGCAGGAGGCAGCCAATCTATGATTCTCTCTCATCATTGATGCTTCTATCTCTCTCTCCCTCTCCCTTCCTCTCTTAATCAATAAAAATATATATATTTTGGGGGGAAAAAGGACAAATAAAAATAGGTACTGTGAAAATATTGATAATGACAACTACAGTGGAACCTCCTCGATTCTTGAACTTAATCAGTTCTGGAAGGCTGTCTGAGATGCAATTTGTTCAAAAACGGAATCATTTTTTCCCATGAGAAATGTAAATTGAATTAATTTATTCCAGACCCCCAAATGATTCCACTTTAACTTTGCTAGTATACACTACATGTCCAATGTACTGTTTAATTTATAAACAAACACTTTTCTTAAAGTTATCAACCACCCCCTACTAGCCTTAAACAAATCACTTTCAGCACTCTTTCCAGGGGTATCTTTCAGGAGGTCAGTATGCTGCATGTCTCTTGCTGTCACTGGCTAACTGCTTTTTATTTATCTAAATCAGCAACAGTTTCTCTACCTCTTCAATTGCCTGTGATCATTGTTTCTTTCACACCATTAGCAACATTAGCACTCTTGATGGTCTGTTTATGTTTTAAAATCGTGCTAATTGTCCATTTAGCTAGCAACAAAAGCAACAAAAAACACAAAAATATTCACAGCACAATTTCCTGAGATATTGGTGATAAACTGACTCATACTGGCCCATTCTCTCCTTTGTTTGTGTCCTGAGAGATGTTTTTTGTCACGCTGATACACCATGAAAGGTTTGTCACATCCAAAATTAAAGTTTGTTCGTTCAACCAAGACATTTTTTCTGTGAACAACTTGGTCACAACTTGGCCAAGAACCAAATTGTTTGAGATGGGAAACTTTCGAGACCTGAGGTTTGACTGTACTTGTACAAGTGTGGCTAAAACAGTTAACTTGTAACCATCAGACCTTTTTACAGTATAAACTCAGAAACAATGTCCAATGTCACAAGAGCTTGCAGAGCTGGTCATCTGCAAAGTGTGCCTGACATGTGGTCCCATCCCATTCCTAATGGTTCAGGTACACAGTAAACTCACCTCCATAATCCCAGTATAATACGAAAATGGTGTTATCCTCAGGCCCTTTACCATAATATCTGATAAATGGTAAGGGTACAGCATGAGATGGTCTCGACTGTACTTTAGTAGTTCCTCATAGTATCTGCGTTCATCTTTCTTGACATGTTTAACTGAGGAAAAGAAAGAAATTCTCCAGTTTTTTCACGTGTCTTATACTTACATAAGTATTTCATACTTTACAAATCAATATTAATTAAAAAGAAAAGTATATAATTTGGAAGAAAATAAATAAAATAAACTAAGTTGGAACAAAGAAACATTATACCACAAGAAATATAAGTACTATGTATATATATGTAAGTAAAATGTAAAATAGGATAGATAGAGACAGATAGGACAAATACCAAATCAAAAAGTAAAGAAAGTAAGCATGGAATGTCTCCAAAAAAAGGTATAAAACATAATCTATAATTCATCCAAACCCTTACTATGCCACTTTACAAGATAGCCAAACTGAATGGTAGTTTTCTATAAAATGAAGTCTATTTTTAAAAATTATTTGTTGTTTTTGTGATTTAAATTTAAAAAGACATCTGACTTCCATGAAATAAGTTTAAAAAGAAAACCTCTCTCTGAAACACTATATTTAAAATGAGAAGAGCACCTGGGAGGGAAGACTAGTACAATAGATTAAACTAATCGAAGTAACCTGACAAATAAAAACATGAAACTAGCTGTGTTTAAAAAGTATTCCAATTATTATAGAAAGAGTTTTCATTAAAGTTATATTATTTGGAAAACTTATGGAGACAAAAACAAACTCAAAGAAAAAATTATTAAGAACTAATATACTTCTTTTTTGGCATGTAAAGTAAAAAGAGGGCATTTGAATCAAGACTAATATTCTCTAGGTAAAACAAATCTATTAACAATACTCTAAAAAATAAATTTCATCAGATTTAGAAAGAAAAATCTACTTGCTAATGCAAATTGTTAGGTGGGATGGGTCAGTATAGTTTCTTAAAGTCTGCACATGGAATAATTTCAGTACTATAAAATATGTATTGAAAATATAGGATAGATTTATGAAATGATAATTCAGCAACAGTCAACTCTATCTCAATGTAAAAATATCTCTACTTACCTAAGTTGTTTCTATATCGTAACTGATTGCGGATGCTGTACAAGACAACCTGCTTTTCATATTCCCTCTGTGAATTTCCAAGACTCTAAAAAAAATTTCAAATAGATTTAAAATAGCTTCTAAACTATAGTACTTTTTCCCCATAAGATTTCAAAACAACGTCCCCTAACTTTATCCTGAAAGCTAAACTTTCCAGAATGGAATAGAGAAGACTTTCCTAGATATTATACTACTGTACTAAATTTCTGCTATGGTTTTACAGCAAAATTTCAATGTGTTTATTTCCAGTCTGCTATTCTAAAAGGACTTACTGAAATTATCTTAAGTATTTAACATAAAATAAAAGAGCAATTTGAGAGCATAGTTTCACTTAACAAAGCACTAAGTTCTACTTACCAAGATTAATGGATGGATGGTTTCTTGCACCTACATTTATTTAAATTTACGAATGGCTACTGACAACAGATTCTGGCCTGATAGTTATTTTTAGCTGAGGAATATGATTATTAAGATTTCTGGAGAATGTACTTTCAAATGTACCTCTAAATTTAAGATTACTTCTTTAAAACATCATCTCCTTATGGTCTCATTAGAAAACATTTAGACACTTTTAGAATTCCAATATATTGGAATGATCAAAAAACTCTTTCCAGAGGTGCACATAGTGTTTTCAGCTCAAAGTTGGGTTCTCATGAAAGCAAAGAATATGTTTGCCTGATTATAATCAAATTATATTCAATGTGTAACCATAAACTTAATATGTGACTGCTATCCCTCTTCTAATTACTAGGTATAATCCTTCCAATGTGCTATAAAGTAAAATTAGACATCTCAGGAAACTAGCAACAGAAAGATCAGAGGGTTGAGTGATTATACTTCCTACTCACAGGTTTTTAAAAGCCCAGGTAAATGTCCATACACATACTTTCACTTAAGGCAATCTTCATAAAACAGATGAAACTCACATCTACATAAACTGGCAAATAATTGGAACCATTAGAGGATACTATCTTAAGGGAAAAAAAAGGTGATGTGAGAAAACTAAAAATCTTTCTTCCTGCAACTAGATTATTTATCACAGCTTAAACCGCAACTCACACTACTGTCGGAATGCATGTGCTGATAATATAACTCCAGAAGAAAAAGTTTAACTCAAGTCACTCATACAAAATATAAGGGTCCATTATTTATAAGCTAATTAGAAAGTGCAGAATCTATGAAACATCTAAGTCTCTGCACTGGGCTTTAATGACTGGTCCTGATCAATTCACTGGTGTGCACACACACCCGAGAACTACATTAACAGTTGATTTTACTCTTCACTACCCACTACATAAAATATAACTGCTTTGTTCACAAAGATTCTTTCGCTTGTCTCCCACTCCTACCCCAAATTTCCCATCATTCACATTTTAAAACACTGTTGCCACTGCAGGAGGCAACTAAAGAAAGCTCATTTTACTCTGACAGCGCTGACCCTGCAGAAATACTGACCAGGTCTAACAAATGGAGTTGGGCTGCAGAGAAGGACCTCTAACAACTGAAGGGGCAACAGAGACACTGGCCATAAAAAACCACCATCAGATGTTCCTACAAACCCCAACCTCAATGTGCAACTCAAAAAAAAAAAAAAACATATTTTTTTTTAATTGACCCTTTTGGGATTATACAGAACCTCCTCATAAGATTTAAAATAAAATAACTACGAATTGTTTTGAACAATGAATACAAGATACTCATAAGCTACTTTTAAAATCCTGAAATAATGGCTCTATCCACAACTTTTTATGTTTTTTTTAAGTCTAGTATGACCCATAACCCATAAAAATATTTCACCTCATCCATATAAAAGCAAATTTTAAAACAATAGTTTGAAATAAAAAAATTTTAACAATCTGAATCCTTTCCCCCCAGCTTTCAGAACCGGAAAATGAGTCATTTCCACATTAAACTTATCAGAAGTTGCTGGAAACTTTATCAAAGTACTTAGTAGCTCTCTAATGCCAAGTCCAAATCCTTTCCACAAGGAACATCCCCCACTTTTAAATTGCCTGAGCTTTAACTTAGCTCATCCAAATCCAAATCCTTCCCCCACTTTTAAATTGCCTGAGCTTTAACTTAGCTCCTGGGGCAAGATCTCAGGCTGATGCCATCATTTATTCACTCCAAAAATATTTACTAAAACCTAAGTATGTGATAGGTGCTCAAAAAACCAAAGCAAAACAAGTACTGTAAGGAGAAAATGCACTGTAGCGGGCTAAGTGCTATCAGAGTGTAGAAACACAGTGCCTGGTGCACTATCTGAGGGTCAACTGGCCCAGATTTAGGAGGTCAGCGACCCCTTCCTGGAGGAGTTAGTATCTGAGATTCACGAAGAAGCCACATGTAAATCTACAGGAGACGGGTAGTGAGCGAACTGGGGTTGTGTTTAGAAAGCTCACCCCAGTGTAGTGTGAAGAATGGATGGGAGGGTCCCATTCTCAGGGCAAGACACAGAGATAGAGAGCGGATGAGCCACCCTGGCGGAGCCTGGCCCAGGGACAGTGGAAAGACCACGGCGTACCCTGTGCAGACGGGCTTTGCAATGCCGTCTACCAGTGGAAACTTATCCTAAGCTAAACAGCTATTCTGTTACGTGCCCTTACCCCCAAAAATTGCTTTAAATTTAATATCACATTTGTACCTAATTTTAACAGTGTTCTGAAATTACTTTTAATAGTCATGCCTAAGGTTTAGAAATGTTTTTACCAATACTAATTAAGGCCAGTTCCTCATGTTGGACACAATCTTCCATTATGCTACATTTATGTTTGTGAAATCGTCTTCAGATATGCCACAGAACCCTAGAGAACACGAGTGTCCACCAGAGCCTTCATTCACACGTAGCGAGAGGGACTTACTCCCTCGGATGCAGACCTCTCTCTTTCCAGGTCCAGCTAAGCACTACACGGGCAGCCACGGACAACCAAGCATTCGGAGTTCCTTCAATTCATCCTTCCACTTTCCTGCTTTCTTGAAATCCTGAAGTGAAAGTATTTTCTCTGCCACGTGATGCATCGCCAGACCTTAAATTATTCATTTCCTAGAACTAAGTCTCCAAGCTGGGAGAGCAATAATCCTGACACAATCACCACCACGCTCCCGAATTTTCCAAGGCGACTGCCCAGCACCGAAGAAAGCAGAACTCCACTCCCCACCCAGCGGAAGGTCAACCTCTGACCAGAGAAACAGTGGCTCGTCTGCAGCTCCTACCACACTACCTTCCCACGGTGTTCCACCACCTGCCATGTTCTATGCTTATTCATCTACGATCTTTTTTTTTTCCACTAAAATGTCAGCTCCATGAAGGCAGGGTCTGTCTGGAACCAGGCACGGCACGCAGTAGGTGTTCAATAAATGCATGAAACAACGGAGTAAAAATCAACCTCAAGCATTTGAGACTTGACTCTCAAAACCTCTCTTGCTGAAACGTCTCTTATAAACCCATCTTGTCATGCGGATAAAGTTAAAAAAAAAAAAAAGGACAAAGTCCCTTCAAACCCTGGCTCTGCTTTTCCAGCCTCACCTGCTCCCACGCCCAGGCGCACAGACAACCTCCGCTCCAAGCAGGTCCCTGGACCTGCGCCTCCAAACTCCCTGACAGTGGGTCGCCTGCTTCTCTCCAGACACGCTTTCGCGCGCCCGAGCCTTTGGACATGACGTGCCCTCTGCCTGGGAAACCTTCATTCCCGCTTTTACTCGTCCTCTAGGGCCCTGTTTGAATGCCCCCGGGACACATCCTCGCGACAATCCCTGGACAACGCCTCCCTCCCTCCTCTGAGAAGGTGTGTATATGACAACACGGGTGGGTCAGAGCTGCTGTCACCTGCAACGCTCTCGTTGGTTTCCCGCCCCGGCCCCGCGCCCTGAAGTTCTGGGGGGTCAGTTTCCCATCTGTTCCCGGGCGCCTCGCCCACTGCCCGGGCAAGTGGAGGCTCCAAGCAAAAGCGCCAGGCGAGCCCAGAGCGCGGTCCCAGCCCACAGCTTCCTGCC